TCCTGTATTGGAGTTACTTATACTTTAGCCTCTTCCACAAAAGAAAATGAGAGCTTTCATGATTTGGAGGATATAGTTTATGACAGATTAATAAGAACTGCATATATCCAAAAGAAGAACCAGCTAAATCCTTCTGACACATGCGTACTATCCAATGTTAATGATGATTTCATTTTCTGGCCTTCATTCTCAATAGTCTGGAAAATGCCTTGTCTATCCTGTGCAAGTGATTTCTGCCACGGCATATGGAAACCAGACAGGCAGGAATGGATGAATAGAGCTAGATATGTAACTACATGCATACAGATACATGTTCATATACTTCCATTCTGGAAACAGAATTCTGTTAGTGGCATTACTGTCTTTTTAATTTTTTTAATAAATGTACCAATGCATAGAGCTACTTCTGAAAACCTACTTCTAAAAATTAGCTGTCCAAAGGCATGTATTAAATCCTATTTTTTAGATTAGCTCCCATTTTCAGCTAAAAGGACATATCATTGTATTCTACTTTTTGGTGTTTAACCAATTCTACACAGTTTTTTTTTCCTACTTGGACAACCACTCTTGAGAGCAATTCATATGAGAGATGAAAGGTTGGAAATTAATTAACACTTGAATATTTCAACATATATATGAGCTAAGGCAAATACATATCAGGGAGAAACAATCTTCCACAAGGCAGAGTTTGAATTCCCACATTTTTCAATTGTTGCAATTAGCATTTTCAGTACATCTTCATATTGAGGACTGAGAAATGCCAGTCATAAGGTCAGCAGGCCCCTTTCAGCTCCCAAGATTGGGCTAGAAGTTTGTGGGTACAGTGATAGATACAAGATAGATGAACTGAAACCTGGGCAAGAATGCCCATGTCCCAGAGAAGAATGGAAAGAGAGAAGTAGAATCAGCACAGGTTTCCTGGTAATGGTCATGGACAAGTAAAAAACAAAACAAAACAAAAACAAAACCAGGAAGAATGGATGTACAGATCCTATACAAAAAGAAAAGACAACAAATTTCAAAACACTGGGAAGCTCAAACCTTCCTAACAACTCCTGGGAGAAAAAGCAAGTTTGAAGAATTTTTCTCTGCATTGTGTATGGCACTGACTCCAAAATGCAACCCCTGAAAGCACAATTTACTTTAGATTTCCTTTCATTTTGCTACCAGATGTCAAGGAGAAGATCAGGAACTAATCAACAGCACAGTCACTCTCTTTTCTGAAGAATTTAAATGGTTTTACAATTCAAGCTGCATACAAGTGTACCCAGCCTCAAAATTCTGCCTTTCATTTTCTCTGAGAGGTTTCTTTTGTACTGGAAGTCACTGGCTGAAAGGAGTATCAGCTTTTCTAGAGGCTTTTTTTTTCTTTTAAAGGTTCTATGAAGTAGAAAATTTTGCAGTCTTTCTGTGGAATTAGAAAAGATACAGGATGAGCTCTAAGTACGAAGAGAAAAGAAAAAAAGAAATTTAAGTGCAGAAAAAAAATCAATATTATCAATTTTTCGCTAAAAATAAAAAATAAAAAATTCCCACTTTCTTATCCAGGTTCTTCTGAAATCTTACTCAGGTACAGACCCAGTGAAATCAATCTAGAGCACAAAAAGATACAAGTGGCTGCACACTGGCAAGTCTGATCAGCCAATTACACTGGATTTGAATGCACATAAAAATGCCCCTACATCTCAAAGTAGAAGGACTAGAAATATTTTCTCTTCTTGTGACAAATCAACCAATAGAAGTTTTCTTGAACACAGTCGAATAAAAGCTCAGTTGTAATCACAAACTTTGTTTCAGTATTTGTTTTAAAACTGGAGCAGAAATGTTAAAGAGAATTCAGATGGTGCAGAAAGTGCTTTTACTGAGAAAACATTGTGTCCTGCAGAAATATTCCTTCTGCAGTTATGAAATTGAATGTTGCACTGCCTAAATGCCAGAACATGCAATACCACAGACTTGAGATATGACTGACAGTCCAGCAAATGAGAATGCATGATTTCCACTACACTAAGTTAGCTCTGCTTAGTACACGTTATCCCATAAAAGTTATGAGATAAAAAAGATATATGAAGTTTGCATTTCATAGAAAGTATTCTGCATCTACATAGCATCAGTTGGGGGATATCAGAGTGATGAATTAATATTCTGTGTTTAGGTCCCTTACTCACTTCCCAAATTACATGGTGCAACACATTCAGGGGCTCATTAAGTTTCCAGCCATTCCTAAACAGCAACAGGTGCTCGAAAAACACTTCTTCAGCATGTCACAGACAGCTTCATCACTGTCTTGGAAATAACTGACTGCACTTGTGTTTCCTCCATGGCACTAACCGACAATGTTGAGAGACAGCAAAAGAACAGGAAGAACTCCCAAAACATCCGCATGGACATAGTGAACGAGTCTAGAAAAATAATTAATTACAACCCTGCTGCATACTCTGAATTCTGATGTGATACTTGCATGTCCATCCAGTACTGCAATCCATTTGGATCCCAATGTCATGTTAAACCAGGGTCTAATGGGTTTCTGGGAATATACACTGATTAATTAATTGAAATGGCATTATAAGAAGTTGAAACTTTCCTGTGATTAATATTTATTAATCCTTTAAGAAGTTTGGATATGCTTTCAGGAACACTAGACTGGATGCCTTGGGAATTTTCTTCAACCATGGGAAGAAAGATGAGATGCAGCTGGAAAGATATGATCCTCTTCTTGCTATGGCATTTGTGTTTTCACAGGCTCCTTTAACATTTGTAAGGAGTGCTACGTAAGTGCAGGGTTACATAAAGTATTTCGTAGTACAGAGTGCCACTATAGAGAGTTTCATTCACAAGAAGGCAAATTTGTAGTTCAACGGATAGATCAGAGGAGACTTCAATTCCTTACATGGGATAAATACTTAAGACCAGAAGAACTATATCCAAGAGTTTCCTGCATATAGAATAAGCTTGTGTCTTGATTTTGTTTTCTCTACTTGAAAGAGCTACTTGAAAGAACTTTGAAAATTGGGCAACATGGAGTCTCCTCTTCCCAGTTTCTTCTCATATACCTTGAAGAAGTCTGTTTGTTTTGGGCTGTCAATATCCAACAATTCATAGCAACAATTAGAACATAACAGCTCTGTAAAGATGATCCTAAGACAGCAAGTTCATTCGTTCAAAATCGCTTGCGTGCTTTGAGATACTGTATATGAAATGGAAATGAATACTTGCTATTTATTTACCTGATTTTCAGAATGCTTGGCTGGGGAACAGTTATAAGCTAAATCTGCACACCTAAAAGAATTAACATATTTCAGATGTACTTGCCAATGAGGGCTAACTGTTCAAAACTGCTTAAGCAGAAAACAAATAGAATATGGTAATTTCTAGAACATCCCAGGAAGACACAAATTTTGAGATTTTGAATATTCTGTAACTTCAATTGAAGTGGACAGAAGAAAGATCAAAAAGCACAGTGAGAATCCTAATGCTTTTTAGCTGCAAGGGATCTCATCAAAAACTTTTGTAGAAGACTTTTGAGTCTTTGATTTTTCACTTCACATTTTGCTTTGTAGGTGGATTTGGAAGCCACCCTCTGAGCCACTTTTACTACCAACAGATATAAAGCCTAACAGAAATAATATTCTAGATCGGAGATTTAATTGTTTTAAAGTTCCATGCTGAGAAACTGTATAGTTTGCATGAACAGGAATCCACACAGACTAGCCATAACCCCAGCTGGTTTTGGTGAGTTGCTCCCAGGATGCTGGCACTGAGCTGAGCTACCTCCTTGCTTCCTAGTAAGGCAAACAGACCATGGATTTCTGTTGAAGATGCTTTTGAAAATACAATTTCATCACAACTCAGCTACATGATATTTACCAGTCGATGTAGAGTTCATTCTTGCAGAAAAAGAATGACCACCCTGGGAACTATATTTTCAGGTATGACAATATACAAACTTTAATATGCACTTTCAATTATTCCCATAATTCACTAGAAACACAGAAAGGACATTATGCATGAACGTTGTGGCAATTCACAAGTCCTTTGAGAAAACCACTGTAAATATTGCATTCCATAAGATAGATACCGAATCCTATCGAAACAGACAGAAGTTTGGCCTTTGGCTTATCCCTCTTTTTGTTGGAAAAGCAATATAAATCATCTCCTGAGGTATGCACAGGCCCATGCTGGAATGCAAACAAAACGTTTCAAAGAGATTTTGTCCTCTGAAAGGAGGATCTTTGCCACAAAGGAGGAGCAGCCAACCTAACAAGCACTCCCTCAGGATATGCAAATCCCCTCACTTTGCACAGCCCTGTACAGTTGCAGCTCAAACTGCCTAAGAGTCTGCAACTCCCAGTGCAACCACTTATGCCAGAGCTAAACCAACCACATGTCTTTTGCATCAACTTACCTAAAGATCCCAGACAAACCGGAAGCCAGGAGCTAAACCAGGTATTAGACCAGGGACTGTAGCTAATACTGAATAGAATCTTATTAAAACATTTTGACTTTACAGTGGAAACCACTTCTGTGTAATGGAGCAGAGAGTATTTTTGTTGACAGAGCCAGTTCTCTGCAGTCTGTGTAAAACGAATGTAGCTTGCTGGCTGGAGAGACCTGGTAAATTCTGTAAGATTACTGCTACTGGAAAGTAGCCATCAAAATGGAAATCAAGCAAAACTTTATACAATCACAATGTCACAAATGACAAAACTCTTTCATGGCAAAGAAATATAAAAGACTACCAATATTAGACATTTTTAAGCAGTAGAATCTTTACTTCCTAGATAAGGCAATGGTTTGCTTCACATTTTGCTATAAGATGTACTGTTTCATTACTTAGACCAATTTCCCATGCAAAACCTTCCTGTGTTAATCAGAGACAATCTCAATATCAGAGACTCAGATGCTGTATGAGAGCAGTAGGACTACTTTAGTCACATCCTTGCAGTCCCTCCCCTCTTTGTGGTGCCCCCCCAGTACCACAGAGACTACAGTTTATTTACCTTTATCCCAGGGAGTCCAGGAAGCCCAGGAAGACCTGGTTCACCCTATACAGGAAAATTGCATAATATTACAGACATTATTCAGTTATGGTCACTATGCAGTGAACACACCTATATATTCTGTAGCAAAATAAAAGAGCACAGGTGACTACTAGTCAGTTCAAGCGGGACTGATATTTTCAAAATTAGTGGTTTAAATGCAATTCTCCTAATGTACCATTTAAGAATTTAAATATCTTCTGGGAACCTCTGATGCTACGACAACACCAAAATCCACGTCAGAAAAACCGAGAATGAATTCTCATTATTCTGGCAACTAAATGAGAAGAAAACAAGCAACATTGGTTCATTTCCTACGTTACCATTTAAATTCCATGCTTACGAAAGATGCTTAATTCTGTCCCATCTTCAACTCTGAGATACATCGTTGTGCTGCCTGACTGCCTGATTTAGCTAACATGCAATTCAGGTTTAAATTGTGCAATTCAAGCGAAACTACCCAATTACAGCTGGAGCATTGTTGTTATAGAGCTATCTCTTGCATTATTTCATTGCTTGGTGTTTATCTGTGAATATACATGGTGTCATAAAGGCTAGTGATAATATAACCTTCTATTGCTTTACCCAGAAATATCTTGCTTATTTTAAATTGTAAAAAAGTGACCCATAGCACAGCATTTACAAGGGTAAATTAGTAAGGAGGATTGAGAACTGAATGTATTTCCTTTGATGCAAAATTGATATTAGTCTAACACAAGAAAGGCTAGCACAGCATTCTGACACGTGGCCAGTTTGAGATACCAACTAAATAGAAAGATGTCATCTAGGGAAATAAAAATGATGAACAGAAGAAAAAAAAAAAAAAGTAGTAGTAACATGTGAAGAAAACATTATTTTAAAGGCTGGAGATTTTACTTTAATACACAGATGGATTCAAACCAATGCCTTGGACGTGAATATTCCCTGAACTTTCTGTGACTGGTCTGAACTCTGAAGCCAACTTTTACCTTTATAATGAGTTGAACTATATTCCAGATTTTGTACATGCTTGAGCTTTACAGAGATCCACATTTCAGCTCTGTGGTTAGGGCTATAGATTTTGCTACTAAAATATTTTACTTGTGTGTATACATACACATATTCGTACACTCACCTATAGGTAGATACATACACACAAACAAACGTGTTTGCATAACATAGATGTTCCTCAGACTTGAGTACCCAAAAACACTACTTTGAGACAATAGTATTAAACATACTCAAAGTGCTAGTAACAAAATTATATTCTGCCACAAACTGAAGAACACAATACAGGGTCTGCAAATTGCTTTACCAAATAGAGTAACTTATACATATTATGGAAGGATAATACATTTCAGTTACTTCAACATTTTAATGTCAGACTGCCTAAAAGCACAGGAAAGAATCCACTCTTAAAATATGAACTATAAAATTAGATGAAAGAATGGTGGCTAGGATACAATTTTCAGTAGACTCCACTGGCTCTTGGTTTATTGCCTAACACTTAGTAAAGCAGGAAATGGGTTGTCAGTCTTGCAAAAGAATAATCCATTAAAAAGTCTTCATTACACCCATTCCTGATCAAGTGCTGGCTCCAAAATCTCTCTCCTCTTTCAAGTATCTCAGCTGGGCAGCCACACACCACACTGCTAACATGACTTTTTCTTATCCAATTGTGGAACACTGAGTTTCACTTCTAAGCACAGCATATGAATGATCACAACTGATAAATCTACTAGTATTGCTGCAGTAGGTCACTGTTTAATCTCGGGACAGATCTAAACCCCAGAGACACAAACATAACAAGCAAAGAGGATCCAGCAAAGCCAGTGTGTTTTCACAGCAATCTGAAACAATTAAGATGCCCATCCAAGATACGTCAAAGAACGTCATACATAATGAAATCATGAATGTTTCATTATAGTTAGCATAGTAGATGAGCGCTTAACACTTTATTTTCTGCACTTTTTCTAATACGAAAGATACAAGCACGATTTATGAGAAGAATAATTTTTAAAGAAGGAGAAGCTGTATATTTGAACTTCTCATCACACTAAGTTTGCTCTGTCGTGATACAACATGCGGCACACAACAGCCTTGACAGGCCACTCAGGCACCAACACATTTCATGTAAGTATTATTCAGGTGGGTAGCTCAGTATTTACCTGTACTTAGAAGATGGATAAGGAGTAACCAGAAGAGGAGGGAGAAGTAATATATAAGGAAGGAAGGAAGAAAGGAAAAAAGAATGGGGCATGAGGGAGAAGAGAAGTGATGCAAAGGGATGAGACATGAGTTTGTTTGGACAAAGGTCCCCACAGCTCCTGGTGGGGTGAAAGATTCCCCACTGAGCAAAGGCAGAGTGGTAACTGTGGGACACCTGGCTGGAGGATGCACTCAGAGCAATCACATTATGGGAGCTGCTGGCGCTGGCTGGAGACAGGGAGGTGGCATATTGGGAGCTTGTGAGGTGATGTGGAAAGAACACATTAAGCTCCCTTTGGTGCAAACAACAAGCTGACACTATAGAAAGTCTGAGCCGTGTACTTCTCACTTATCTATGTTACATAAATGAGATCAAACCTGAGTGCCTGGAGACTGAGATCCTGCAGGAGCCTGCTGATAAATCACTGCTGCTTTTACCTCCATGGCAGCCAGCTAATGAGAGAATGAATCTCAACAGGCTCGTAAGTGCATTTTCTAGTTTACTGCCCCAGCAAAGCACACACAGAGTAGAGAATGCACATGCTGAATGATTCTACAGAGTAGATAGCTTTAAGCTACCATGATTACTTTCTCTAATTAAAACTGTATTTTACTAAAGAACTGCATTTACTACTGTAATGTAGTCTTTGTTTAGTTTGTTATAACTGACGGTAACTAAAATTTCTCAAACAAAAAGACTCAATTTCTTATTTTATATTAATAAGTGTTTTGAGATTTTGCTTAGTCACCTAAAGGCTTTGAGTATTAGAAAACAGTAGTAGTGCCACTCGTTATACAGAATTATAGTTCTTGGTTGGTGGGCTGGAACATCAACCTTCCACTGGGCTCTGCTCCACCTTAACAGCAGTAGGAAATTTTCAATGTTATAAGATACAAGAATGATGCTGAAGGCTCCAGGGGGAAACCAAGTATTGCAGAGCAAAAATCTGGTACCCTCATTGTCTCTTCTCTTTGCCCTTCCACCAGCTCTCCCAGCAGGACCTATCTCCTACTCTCCCGAAAGGCAGCTGAAGGCAAAGCATTCACTGTTTGATGTACTATGGATTCAAAAGGGAAATTACCCAGCTTCACAGGGCCGCATGCAGCACAAAGTGATTACAGCTCCTGCTGGATCTTTACTTGCAAAAACATCATCAGCTATGCAGCACCCAGGGGAATTTCTTCCCCAGGAAGAAAGAATGGAGCAGTATTACCCAGTCTCTGTCCTTCCAAACACACTGCGCATCTCTGATAGTTTGATTTCCCGTACAATTACATAGGAAAGGGATTCTAGTCAGCATTTATTTTCTTCCTAATTAGATGTAATAATGTACTACAGGCTGAAGGTTAATATTCAGTCAAACATGCAAAGTTAACTTGTGATCATTCAAGTAGCAGAGCCATTTGTTGTTAGTCTTGCCAACTGCAATTGGGTAAGCTTTCAATGCAAGAAGTGCTCTGATGCTGGAAGAGGAGGTGTGTTATTCTGACACTACTTTTCACGGTAATTAGTGTTATCATTCCTGTGCTTTTTATAATACAAAATGATCATATGCCATATCGTACAAGCTGCCACATAGCACTACATTAGGCTCATCCTAGTGTAAAAAAAGTTCAACATAACAAGACTTATCACAAATCCAACAGTGAAGAAAAAGAACACAAACATTTCCAACTAATACCTTTTGTCCGGGCCGTCCAGATTCACCAGGTTCACCCTAAACAAAGAAAAGAAATGAAAGACATGATATCTGTCAAAAGGAATTAAAAATAGGGTTGGGTAAGATCATAACATTACCTGAAATGTCTGTGACACAACAAAGTAACACTGATCAGCCACCCCTCTTCTCTCTGTACAACTGCTTTCAACATTTAATTACCTTAATTCCTGCAGCAGACGAACCAGGGTCACCCTGATAGAAAATCCACAAGAAATGATCATGCTTATTACATATACAGGTTTAAGGAAACAAATACAGCAACATGTGCAATATCATAGCAAGATGATATAGCAAAATAGCTAGTTAGCAAGACTACCTGCTCTCTGTGATGATACATAGGAACTCACCTATTGAAATTAAATCAAAGGATTCAGAAAAGAAACCATATTATTTTCAAAAAAATACAGAGAAAGTTAGTTTCAAAAAGTATACTAAGTAAACCCAAATTTCACAACTAAAAATGCAGATGCAATAATTGCTGATTTTGTAAAAATGACCTTTAAAAATCTGGAAGATGGGACACAGTTTGGCATCTCTAAATTGCTGACATACATCAAAAATCATTTACTGCAATTTACGAATGAGCTTTTTGATTTGGTTCTACAAATCTCAACTGACATAGCTTTTTGTGCAAATCAAGATGAACCTTAAAAAAAATCAGCAAGCTATGCTGTTATCACCATCAGGACAGGTCTTAGCTCAATTACCACAGCTCTTCAGCCTATTTAAACTGGTAAGACAATGCAGCTAAGTATTGCACATGATGGGATGAGGCAGCTACAGCAATCTATGTATTTGGAAAAGCTCTCTGTTCTATGCACACATCTTGCATTCAGAAAGAGTGTCCTGTTTTCTGCTTGGTTGACCAGGCTTGATAGGTAGTGATATGCACAAGTTCAGAGGACTGGTGAGTGAATTGGTAGGGAAGCTTTCAGCTCCCAGTTTGTGTTATTATCACAGGATCCTCCAAATTCTTGAATGCTCAATTTGCTGCACTTTTTTCCCCCCCTACAAGACATGCCAAATAAATATGGAGAAAACCAAATTGATGAAAGAGTGGCTAGTTAAAATAGAGGCTGCCAAAGATGGCTAGAGCGCTTATATTTGAAGGACTAGCTTAGTATTTATTATTCAAAATAAATTTGGATTATTCATTGAAAATAACAAGTTGCTGCATGGCAGTAACTGCAAACTTGGCAAGAGCCTGTTGGCAATTGACACAGGTAGTATAGAAGCCAACAGTGTTATCCACTTTGAAGATGTTATGCAGAGTATCCATTCCTGATGGTTCCGTGAAGCTGGAGGAAGCATTTTGTGAATGGTGGATTTTCAGAGTTGGTTTGGGGGTTTTTATTTTTTGTAATACTCCAATAAAATTAAATGGCACCAGAAAACATGCTCACTTTGTTTTAAAGAACAGAAACAGAATTTCCTCTACACAGTTGCTGCAGTTCTCTCATGTGTGAGTTAAAAACAAAAAGTCAGTTTTATGAAGGGTTGATTCATGTCTGGAAACCTGAGCTGCCTCTTCTTGATAGACGTGCATGAGTGATACTGCTGATATCCCTTACAAGCATGTACAACTGCAAAGCTTCAGGGACTTTTTATAGCTGTAAAGTGGTAAAGCAACTGGTAAGAGACATTCACAAGTTAAACATTTTAAGGGATAATGATTGATATGGGGAGATAAGGGCATTAAGTATTTATAATCCACCTTCACATAAGAATGAAAATTAATACGGGATTAAAAGAAAAAATATGGCACAGCATGTTCTCAGTTCTGTGATGAGTCAGACCACTTGGAAATGAAGAAATTTTAGCAGGGGAACGTGCACACAGAAGAAAAATACTTGGTAGTTTCCAGGGGCTAAGGCTAAGAACTCATGTCTGACACTGATACTGTCTTCAGAGCAGGCCAACTCAGAAAAGACAGTTTCTTTTTTAAATCATGGGTCAAAAACTACTGACCCAAGTCAGCATCTCTGATAGCCACTGGGTACAGCAGTTCAGAAAGTAAAGCTAAATCAACTGTACAAATAGAAACCTGTTCAAACAAAGTTCAAAACAGTTGTCACCAGACCTCTGTCACATAGCAAAATAAAAATTTAGTGTTTATCTTACAGAAACATGATTTAATCTTTTAAATAAATGTTTTACAATTTGTGATCTATGAATGAAATGTCTTAAACATCTAGCATTATCATTTAAGTGTAATGGTCCCCGCATTTATTTATATAAATTAAATGGCTTTTTTTTTTTTTTTTTTAAAGCAAGCAAATAGGAGGCATACATACAAATGACTGAACATCTGGGAACTGAACCAGTACTAGCCTTACATCATCTCTGAACAACACTTCCAGCAGATCTCCTAAAATGTTTTTTTAAAAATAGTGCCTCAGTAAGTCTTGAACTCTTCTCCACAGGTGTTCAGTTCACAAAAACTCTCAATACTCATCTGGTAGTGAAGTTCTGTAAAGTAACACACACTCTGGATGTTTCAGGACTACCCAAACAGAAAGCAGAGAGCATTCATAAGAACATAAGGTAATGCTTTAATGAGGCTGCCTGTGAGATTTGCTGGTCTTGATTCCAACTGCTCCTTTTAAGACAACAAAAAAAGGGAAGAGTTTTTTTTTTGTTAACCTCCTGCCCTGATAGAAAATGACCAGAGGAAAACACAGAAGGAAGGCTTCTGAGCTGCTTTGAAATCCTGCATTATAGCAGAATGGTCTGGTAAGGGTAACTGTTCAAGATGATTATAACACCAATGAGAAAAAGTACAAGCGATACAGAAAAAAATACATGGAGAAAAAAAATAATAAAACATCAAGGCTGCTCTGTGAACATATTAAACATGACTGTAATAGGCTTTCTTAGATTCTCTAACACTAATACAGTTAACAACTGCTGGGCAAATTCATTCCTGAATTTTACAGGATGGTCATACAGCACAATCTTTGCCCTACTGTGAAGAGCAGGAAAGAGTACACTCCTTGTTAAGTAGCACAAATGCAATGTACAGACACCGAATTTTATGCTAGTTCCTATATTATCTGTTGAAATACATCCTAAACTTCCTACCAAAGCTATCTTTCAGAAACATTAAGCTGCAGTTCTACTATAAGATACAGATTTTTTTTTCCCCTGGGTGGCAGATTGCCTTGCAGGCAGGGAAAATGGGTGGGCAAAAGACAACAAAGGCCAACTAAGCTTATTCTGTTGTTTTGCTTATTCTGTCCTAAGAATTTGTGCGGTGGATGCCAGGCTGTTACTCTTAGAGCAATGAGCTCCATGCAAACAGCATGTATTTCCATGTCACCACAGCACCTCTGAAACTTACATGAAACCTTGAAGAGTTGGGAGACATCTGTATTATGATGTTATGAAGGTTAACTTCCTATTTCCCTGTTGCTACAGGACTATGTCTTAAAAACAATCTCATATTTTCCTAGAAATTATGTTATTAAATCTTGTAAAAATGGATTAAGAAGACTTCAATAGCATACCTTGTCTAAGCAACTAAATAAGGTTCTTAAGATTTTAATCTAGGCTAATAAACATGACTGCAGAGGAAGTATTATATTAATGAAGTGAGAATCAAAAAAATTTACTATTGTTATACGTAATGACTGTTTTTAGTACCTGACTTTAGAATGCACCCCATAATAACTTTATGTTCTTGAATACTGGTTCCAAATGATAGGGCCTGAGAGATTTGCATGCATTGCTTAGTATTTTGATAAATCTGGCAAACTTCTTGTGCTACACTTTGATTTGAGTTGGTTATGCAATTAAACATATGGAGGTTGTTATTGATATAATCTGGTAAAATCTTCTAAAATGTGGTTTTTATCTTCAACTCTCAATTGCTTAGCAGGCTGTTCGGACAGTACCATACTGGTTTAGTCCCTTGCTTTGCAGAGAACAGGGAATGGGAAATATGAACAGCTAAGATATACCAGAAAGAGGTATAACTCATCAGACACAGAACCAATACCAGAAAGAGGTATAACTCATCAGACACAGAACCAAAATCTGGGCAGATTACGACCAAATTTTCTGGACAATGCATATTTTAGCTAAGAACAGTGATGATTAGAGACTAATGCTGATGCACTCTGGACTTAAGCTGCTGCTATATAAAGTCATGAACAGAACAGTGACATTTTTCCACTGTTTATAAGAATGAACTCAGTCAAACTGTTCAACATTTTTAGTGAGAAAGTTTAAAATGCATTTTTCTTTTGTCAGATTTCTATTTTCACTGGTTGATTAGACTGTGAACATATCTACGGCACATAATTTCCTCTCTACTATTAAGTAGCATACCTTTTCTCCTGTGTCACCCTTTGGTCCATTTTCTCCAGCATCACCCTGGAATGAAAATACATATTTAAAAAAATGATTTTATGTAAACATACAGAGGAGTCAGCATTCAAACATTATTGGCAAGTTAGTTTTATTAATCAAGTAGCCAATCTCTCTACAGCATGGTCAGGAAGTGTGGTTTTTATAGCTGCTATATCTCTTGCATATAAACCCACAAAAGTACATAAACTCTCAGATAACTATCTTCCTGCTACTATACTCTATAGACTTCCACAATTCATTGTGGTCTAGAAATGAAGGAATGATTTCATGATAGTTCAGCATTTTAAATTGGCGGCGCATATTTCTTCTCCAGAGATACTCACCTAAGCATATCTAATCAAATTCAGGTAAGTGATCCAATTCCAATACTTTTTATTGGATTCTCAAGTGATGTACGTTATAAACTGCTTGAGTTTGAAGTACTTCCATGCATGATTCACAAACCAGAAAACCTTTACGGATTTCACCCTTCCAGATAGCCACCAAAAAGGTTATCTCTACATAAATTTGTTGTGTTGTATGTTATTAAGAAAGGTGATATTCAGACAGCACTCCTTTATGCTTGGGCAGACATCTCTCATTTTAAAAATAACTTTTTAAAGGAATGCTTCAAAAGTTTTATCTATAAAAATACAAAATTTCTATTTTTATTAATTTAGCTGTATAGTAAGACCAAAGTAAACCAAAAAGTCTGTTCTATATGAGGACCAAATATGCCTGTGAGACTTGAGTGCAAGGAATATATAAAATACCAAAGGTACTGATTGACTCTAAATATGCCACAACCATTTTTGTAGGTCTTGGCTAGATAACCAGTAAAAATATTCAAATAATATTAATTCAGCACCTGTCATATTGCTCTGAAAAGCTCAATGTAAAATTCTTCTCAGAGGATTTGTATCAGAGATCATTTTGTATAGGATGGTCACTAACACAAGGGTAACTAGCAAAAAACTAGCTAGTCTTTAATTAAGGGCTTGATGAGTCATGGAGATGTGCAACAGTAACTGCTAGGAACATCATTCTGAGTCCATTTGACATGATAAAGTACATATAGGACATTTACAACTACATTTTTTAGGGAAATACAGTGGATGATTAGGGTGAAATATCCTGATTTTAAGTAACAGAAATCCATCACAGGTAAGTATTGTTACACTGCTTTTGTGCTTGAAAATGAACAAAGGATTACTGGAGTTCTACCAAAAATACTATTTTAACAAAAACGAGTGATTTTGTGAGAAGAGATTCCTAGTTATATATTCTACATGTGGGGTAAAAGCATTCAAGATTCCCCTGGATAATAACGTGCTTTAGAAGACATGAACTGCAGCTGGTAATACATGGATTTACACAGATCTGGAAGTGAAATTCAATTGTAGCTGAAAATTGAAGCTGCATGAGCAAGCACTTCTCAAGAGCAAATAACACCTGAATGCAAACAGCTTACTTTTTAAAAAGCGTGGCTCAATTTACTCACAGGAAATGAGTCTGTGTAAAGATTCCTGTTCAAAATAAGGCTTACAGCATTTTCTCAGGTTGCCCTTGCAGAGATGCACAAGTTTGATTTGCACTGAGTGTTTACTTGTATGAGTGCTCCTACTGGTATCTTTCTATGAAAGGGCAGAATCACACCCCTGTTTTGCAGCATGGAGCTCATCTTGTCTCTGTGTGACTGTATATCATCTAGAGTTTGTGTAATTACCACTCTGTTACCAAATTCTTTTACTGCCTGCAGGTAACAAAGCATCAAAACCAAGTTACGAGAAATGTTTGGCACTATCATTTGTTCGATCACTCATCTTTTTCTGACATGAACATTAGATATGGTTAGGTGCAGAGTTCCTCAGTTGTGCAGCAATTAAGGCATGAGCACTGCTATTAGTATTATTATTAGCACTGGTATTAGTATTATTTGATGTCAGAAAAGGCTGCACAATGGCTCTCAAGTTGTGGCTACAGCTGCATTTTTATTTATTTTTAAACTAAGAATCAGTGCACTGACAGCTTTCCAAAACAGAACAACAGCAAAGGAAGTGGAATAGGACTCACCTTTTCTCCTCTCTCTCCAGGGTCACCCTGATCAAAGCAAGTGGAGCAGAGAAGTCATAAGTTATTAACAGGAGTAAAATTCCAAGTATAAGTGCTATCATCATTGTCACAATTGATGACACTGTTTCAAGTGATAAAAATCCAACAGTGAAATCTTCAATAAGCAATAATAAATAAATTTAATAGAACTCAATAGACAACATATTTTCAGCATAATTTAAAAACATTAGTGATTTGTATGTAGAATTTTATTTTGTTTCAAAGTTTTCTTCCTGTTTTGTTCTAGATTAAACCTTCATGAATAGTTGCATGTCTTTGTGGATTGGCCTTCTGGGACAGAGTTGACTCCTGCATTTGGTTTTCCTTATTTTGGAAATAAATGAAAGACGAATTTACAGGCTGAATGTGGGGTGAAAGTCATATGACTCTATTAATGGCTTGAGAGACTCTATGGGAGAAACAGAAAGCCTTCAGCGACTCAAACAAATTCATAACTGATTCAGAGCAAAGAGCCTTTACTGCTTCTAACATTTTCTGGAAGAAAAAGATGACTTTTAGCTATTTTTTTTTTAAATTATATCTTGCTTGAAAAACTAGCTCAATGGCAAACTCACATTGGTGCACCAAGCATGACCCTGACAAGTCATCTCTGTGTTTCTGGCTCAGAAATGCACTCTGCCTCATCTTTGCCCCTTCTGATGGCTGGCAGTCGCTAAGCAACTTGAAGATTACAGTTGTGCATATGAATTAAGCATTAACTGCCACAATTTGGCTTCTTCTGTATGCGAAATAAGAAAAGGTCACGCTCCCAAATGGTGTGTTTTCATCCCTGATGGACAAGCAGCCAGTCAGTAAACGTAAAGAGCCTGCCCTGTGTGTCTGTCAGCAGCAGTGTGATGCACAGAATCAGCTGAGGAGCACATGTGCACCAAAGACACGCTCACAGCTGATGGGATTAGTATTCAACATTACCCATTCCAAGAGGCCCACTGATCACATCATCACTGAGCTTTCTTTTATACAGTTATAAGCTTTACGTTCCATTCCACTCATTCAATATCAAAACAGCAGAAAAATAATTATTTAACAACAAAATAAATCCTAAGAGAGACTCTGATACATCAAATATGGGCCCAGACATGTTCTTAGTGCTGACTGCCATTATAGCAGGATCAGCGCTCAAGACTTAACCCTGACATTCATCAAAGATTTGACCACAGTAGCTCTTGAAAAGAAGCCTGAAACACATTGTAAAGAGCATAAACAAAGCCTCTCTGAAAAGGTCTCCATATTCCCAAACACTTGCAGGCATATTACATTCACTTGGCAATGGATGCGTATGCGTCAGTGCCACTGACTGGAATTATATATGCACAGCAGAAGATAATGCTTCTTTATGGTGCAATGTGTAAAGCCTCTGACAGTGCTGATCACTAGAGAGAGCAGATCACTAAAAGCCAGTCAGAATATAAACACTGCTTGGAAAGAGCAACTGTAATCTATATGCACTCACGTACTGCGTGCTTTTGTTTTTAATCCATTTCCAATACTAACCTTAAGCCCCGCTGCTCCCTTCTCCCCCGCTACGCCAGGCAAACCAGGTTCTCCCTAAGAACACACAAAAAAGATGCAGTTAACAAAGACATGATGAAATACATATTAACATCATTTCACTATCTCATATTAAGTGGACTAAATCTAATTTAAGCTCCTGTAGAGATAAGAAATAATTCTACAGAAGGCACTGGAAATATGCGTGTGTGAAGCTAAACAGAAAACAGAACTGAGACTTATGATTCTGAAAAGCTGCTCAATTTACCTTAAAAGCAGTCTTTCCAGCAAGGCTAGTATTACTTCTCTCCTTCCTACAACTCAGAAATACTGCAAGAAAGGCTTATCTTAAATGACTTTGACATTCTGCTCCTAAGGAAGACAGACAGTGATGAAAAATGAAAAGGGTTTATTCCAGAAACAGAAGAGTTTGGAATAGATAGCTGTTTAATTTATAAATATACCTCGCTTGTCAGTTTCACACACTCCAGTACCACTAGCTAAAAATTAGATTTAAAAGACTTTAGAAACTTCAGCATAACATTAAAGATCCAAATTTGGGGTATTTTAATAGAAAGTAGACATATTGTTCCACAGCTTAAAGAGTGGCAAGTAATTTTCATAAGTCAGTCAACAAATGACAATTAATTGTAAACTTCTTTTTTTTCTCTAAACTGAAAAATAAAAAAAAAAGCCACCAAAAAAACAACAAGAAACAAATAACAAATAGAACAACAAATAATTCTTAATTATTTCCTGATATTTCCTGGTGTTTATTTCCCAGACTCACTGAAAAAAATGCATGCATTATTTGAGAGACATGATATATCAATGGCTAGACCTTACTAGTGAGCATCTAGGGTTGATGGCTGAGTAAAACCTTTTGTGTAAGTATGCCTCAATTTCACAACAAACATGCATATTCTTTTGTAACCCTTGCCTACGCAGTAACGCATTGCACTTCAAGGTGGGAAAGCATGTTAAAGCAGCATCCAAAAGAACAGAAAATGCCTTCAAATAAGTTCCTCAATAAGCTTTTTTGCTACATAAGTGTAAGAAGATGCTTAAAAGTTCAATACGATGGCTAGTACAGTAATGAAATGAGAAATGATAATTCAGAAACTCAGTGAATATTTTTATATAGGATTCAAATTCAGTAGACAGGATGAACCAACTCTCTGCTTTAACTTACAGAAGAATTGAGATACAATCCTGTTCCAATCCTCCAAAAAAGCCTTCCACTAAGAAAGATTTTTTTATTACTTTTACAGTCATATTTGAATCAGAGGTATATAAACTAGATTCTCTAAGAAGGATCCATTCTAGTTCTAAATTAAAGGAACATAAAGCACCTTAATGTCACCAACTATGGGACTATTTCAAAACACAGAACAAAACCGTTGAGGTTCGTGTAAAACTCTACTGAGTTATTCTTCACACCAAAGTGTTAGGTGCCATTAGACTCACAGGGAATTACAAAGCTATTTGAGCCAGCCCTTTTTCAAGGCTCCTTTGTATTGTAGTAGCTTGAAGGCTGATATAGCAGCACAGGCATTTGATATATGAGCAGTCAGGATTTGAAGCTGTTGGAGATTAGGCATAAGGATCCTAAAGGATTGACCCAAAAGACACTTGGAGAAAACTGCCAGTTGACAAAATGAAGCAGAAGGGACTGATGGATATGCACTTGTTTCTCCTCATCCCACACTGCAAACAAGTTTGTTTCTGTCTCCTTCAATTTAAAACAGCTGCAGTTGGCTGAGAATTCAAGGGGCTTAAATCAGTAATCAGAAGGTCAAAATCCCAAGCTTGTGCCTTCCTACCAAATTTACATATCCAAGTAATGCATATACAGCTATTGGTATGACAAAAAATGAGATTAAAAACTGGACAAAAAAGTTGCCTTGCTTTCTTAGGGAAAAAAAAAGTGAAAACCTCTGGCTGCTACGTCCTTGTAGTAAATCACTATTTCTACCAACTGTCCTGTTTCAGGCCTGTATGTGACTTTCTTATGGCCATCAAACTATATGCTTTTATCACTGGAAGTACTAGCCAGAGGCATTATCACACTAGGGATTAGCTCTGGGAAGGGGAAAAACTGAAGGCAAACCTACAAGGAAAGCATAGAGATGATCTTGCACCTCTGTGCTTTTGAAGTCATTATCCTCCTGTTTCTAAAGGCCTGAAGCACAGAGGGACAGTATAAAACCACAGTTTCCCTTTCACTGCTGTAGAACCTGATTTTATCATCTATACAAGCAGGAGCAGTACGATGAAACATAACTTTATTGCACATAACCTATCCTATACACTGCCCCAGGAAAACTCCTGTTTTCCAGGGCTAAAGCTGATTTTTAAGTATTAAGTATTCTATTAAAGCCTAAAATAAAATATAAAAACAACAACAACAAAAACAATAAAACAAAAACCACAACCAACCAATAAATAAAAAAAATTCCACCCAAATAACTAGAACAAAGCCTCCCATCAGGTAGGAAACACCAAAAATAGCCACAAGCTGAAACAGCAGCAAACATTTTGGAGGAAAGTAGATTGATAGTATTCCTGCTGTACACCAATCTTAGTATTTGCCATGAAAGTAAGTTAAAATATTTCTGTTAAGAAGTACGGTTAATTACTTTCCATTTATTTACTTTTTTGTTGTTGCTGTTTTTGTTTTCAACTAAAGCATATATTAAAACTAAAAAATGCTGTGTATGTTTGTTTCACTCCCACAGGTTACTGTTTGGGAGATTAACTGCTGCTCTTTTGGCTGAGGACAGTTATGCTGCTGTTCCAGGAGAGATGCATGGAAGGGAAAACCGGACATTCAGAAACATCACCTCATGCATCAACTGCAATTAGAGTGCTTTTAAACTTGGCAAGGTGTCAGAAGCTATAAAACTATATTCTTCATCTCGTATATTTGTACATTCACCAGGTCATGGTTAATGGCTTCCCGACTCATATTGCAGTCTCTCTTTAACAGCATTGACAGCAAAGGTGTTATGCTGCAGAAACAATTGCCTTCTGCATATCATTCAGCTTTCAAATCAAGTCAGCATATTTTTCTTCTTCCCCATTTAAGGAGTGATTTTGTCTATAGCACATTTAGGTTTGGGTTATAGCTTATCCTTCTGCAGTCAAGACATCCTCAAAACAATCACTCAGGGACAGGCATCACTGAAACAAAACATGTCCTAAAACCTTATAGTGCCTATGTAAAAGTATGACATATTACTACACTTAAAATGATACCAACAGCCACAGTGCACCCACAAATAAGAGTCGCAAGCCTCAAAGAACTTGTGTGAAAATATCCTCAGAGGATTCTCCTGAAACTTTTTCCTTACAAAGATAGACTGTGGGAAAGATACTGTGGGCAGGTTGGACGTATGTAAATATAATCCATAAAGATTTTGCTGTACTTGTAAAAAGCAGTAAAAAACAAACAAACACCAAAACCTCCCAGCTGTACAAAAATCAAATCCCCAAATGGTAAATCTGCAAATCTTGCATTAGAAGTTATCCTAACTCAGCCCTTAACTTCTGTTTTGTACAAGGTTGTTTTCTCTTGTCTTTGAGTTATGGAACAAAAAGTCCTGTTTTCATGACTTGACTAACTATACAAATAAGCTATAACCTACTAGAAAAAGCTAGAAAAGCTACCTTTTTCCAATTTTAATGTAAAAAAATACTATAACAGTAGTGAGTAAACTTTTGTCTACTGCAGAAAAGGACACCACCACCACTAGAAGTTTTTAAGCATGTAAGTCCCCAGTTCCTCTCTTCTCTATGATCATCTGAAGTTATGTAGGTCTAGTTTGATGAGTTCAGAAATGGTCTCAGAGTGATGGAAATAAAAATTTCCAGCAAATGTGCTATTGTACTTTCCCTCACCCAAAATCATGCAGCTAAATTCAAAATGATTGTAAGTGCTCCTGTCATTTATTTGAAAAGAGGCTTAGAAAGAATTTGAAAAAAATGCTATCACATCAGCAAACTATGATATCAAGGCATGACTGAAAAAGTTATGAAGAAAGTTACCAACTATCAACTATTCAGGATCCTTCTGATCATTTCCAGGAGAACCAATTAATATCAACTATCAGAGCAAACAAAATGCCAACATGCCAAGAAGAATACATTCAAACCAGCCACTTGGTTCAGGAGTTTCAAGTAGTTCAAAGATCAACACTGGACAGCACAGCAGTGTGCCTCGATTCAAGTCCTCGTTCTCTTGTGCCTGTATTACCCATATGATTGCGTTAACATTGAGAGAGCAGCTCTGTCTTTCCTGTATTAGTTTGGGTAAAACACATCCTTCAGCACCCTGCCCAATGAACTGAATTTGATCAGTGCAGAGCGCTGCTTGGGCTCACTGACAATTTGATAAAAAAATGTCAATATGCATGCATAAAACCTACTTCAGATCAGTTTTGAAAATGTATCAGCCACTAGAGTACATACTGAAGGAGTTCAGGCTGTTGATATCATACCTCTCCTTAATAGAGTGATCTGTGCCCTTGAGGTATATACCTCTACGTCCAGAATTAAGCAGCTAAAAATAACATGGCTAGAGGCCTGGCCTTTCTTGTTTGTAACAGAAAAACAGCCTGGAGGCCGTTCTGAAATAAGTTTGGTTTCAGTGGGATTCATAACTCCATCTGCACCAGCTGGTTGATATCCATCTCGCCCTGAGAAGAAAGCCTGTCAGTACTGCTATATTTTCCAGTCACTAGAATGCAATCAGTTGTAAGGATAAGGAAATACAAGAGGCCCCCAAACTAAATTCAATCTAATTTTACTCTAAAATACATAAACAAGGGCAGAGGGGAAAAAAGTAGTTTCTCAGACATGTTACTGTGATTTCCATTTCAAATCAGGCTTGAATTATTTCCTTTCAACTTGCTTTTCACCCTCCTAAAAATTAACTTAATGTTGTTTGTTTAAGAACTGGAAAGCTCTCCTGGCCCACTCACCAGCTGAAATTAAGTGGAAAGTCTTCAACAGGACTCAGCTGGCCTGCAAACCTGTCTGGGAATCTGTGAACTGCA